CGAAAGTATGGACTGTTGATCTTTTCGTACAGTTAAATTATTGTATTACTATTTGGCGGTATTTCGAATTACTGGATTCGAAAATTTTTTTGAACTTCATAAGCGAAGGTGATCAATTTTGATTTTTTAATTATAACTAAGGCAATTCAATGCTTGTTCGAAAGTGTTTTCGAACATAATACAGATGTAATTGAAAATACGGAGTTTTGATTTCAGAATTAAACAATTTGAATGCTACTTCGAAATATTTCGAACTTCGGAATTAGATATTTTTTCGAACTTGCCAATCCAGAAGAATGAGTTAAAATATGTTCATTTTAAGAGAAAACATTTTAATGCCATTTCGAAGTATATTAATACTTTTCTGAACTACATAATTTATAGAACATCGAAGTTATTATTTTCAGTACATATTATGATCTCTTTCAAAAAATAGTTCAAAATTTACAAATTTCTAAACTACTTAATATAATTTGTGCAATTACCAAGTTGAAGTGTAAGAAATGTGCAAGTCCCGAAATAGCGGTATTGACTAAATTTCATATTTATTATATGTATATGTATGTAGATATATTTATGTAATGAACCAGTACTTCCAAATAATTTTAGTTGTTATGTTTAAAAATAATTATTTTGGATATCAAATTTTCTATAAATTTATGAAAATTTTCGAAATCCATATTAAAATCAAAAACATAAGTTGGCATTTCCGCGAATTCAACTATAACTTCCAATATTACTATTACATCCCGTTAATTTTCGATAAAACTTGTGAATTTCGAATTTTTCACATACACAGTTTTCGAAAATTTCGAAAYTCATATTTAAGTCAAAAATATAAATTGTCACTTTTTCGAATTCAATATAATTTCGAAAATAACGTTTAATAATTCAAATCAACACTTAAACCAGTTACTTCCCGATAATAGTAGCGTTTAAAGGAAGTTTCTAGATTGTGTGTTAAGGGGTCAGTAGGACAATCTTTTTTCAATTTTTTTTGCATATTCTGTTCTCT